GCTGGGATCGTTATTCAGGTGCTCCATGTCTCCGCCACTTGGGGTGTACGATACACTTACCTCCACGTGGTGCACCCTGAGCAATGTATACTCATTCGGCAAAAAGTCTGTCAACCAGCAATTAACAACTGACTTTAAATTACCATCACCCCTCAGTATGTCATATTCGACTTCTTCCACAGTACTCACCTCACCTTTGTGTCTGTCTCTTACATCTTTGAAACGCTTTTCTGTTCCCCCCCCCCCTATCAAATTTTTTTCACTCTGATGTTTCTTCCCTTCTGTGAAGTCTGAAGTCAACTATAAGGCTAATGATAACTATCAAAATGCCTGCCATTTGATATAAATAAATTCTCACAAGCTAATTGCACCGTGCGCAATAGTCTTAATTGCCTCTAGTAAACTCCTCGAAATCCCTCCGACTTTCCACAAACCAGGTTTAATTCTCAACTTTTAAAATCCATGTAATCAATATCATGCAGCCTAAAATAAGCAAATGAAGATTAGTTTCTTCGGTATGCAACCAATTTTTTTTATCTTCAAACTTTTGAAACTCATCGGTCAAAATAAACAGAATGTATGTTATGAAGGGGACTCAAATTTCCTTTCTTATTTTGATTATTGCAAACAATTTTAACGAATCAAATTATTTCATGTGCGCATCATGAATGCCCCTTATATGCTGAGATACATAATTTTCGAATTCTCGAGCAGTGAAAGGCGTAAGAGCTTTTAGAAATCTTCTCTTTGTTTTCTCATCTCTGAGCAATAATATTTTGATCTGAAGAATGTTATTACGGCGAAATTTTTGTTGGTTTTGGAGTAACTGAATAAAAAAAATATGCATTTTATATGTGTCCGTTTAAATTTGGCCTTTTAATTAAGGGGTGCTTAAAACCATAGGCATTAATTAATTCGCAGACACAAATAAATTATTTTTCTCGGATCTGTTATTTCTCCCTTTTAAGCAGAAAAAATGAAAATTGAAGAATTTTCCACGAATGGCAAGATTGAAACAATTTCTTCCAAGGATATTCTCCGTTTTAAAAATGCAGAAATTCTCAACAGAGGGTTTTAATCATTGAATGAAGAAATTGGATGTTACTTTTTTCCACTTGGTGAGACCTTTAGGTGCACCTTACCTTTTAACTCTCCAATTGGATTATTTTATTTTTTCCAAATAAAATTAATTTTTCTCCTCTTCCATTTTTTTGCTAATTCATTATCCAAAGCTGTCATTATCCCCTCAAACAAGATGCCAACCAAGTTGGGCTTAAAAATTCCCCCCCGAGAGAATGATTTATCTGTTTTAAGGCTCACAGGATGCAATATCTCTCCCCCTTTCCAATGATAGGGCCTAAAGGTGGGTTGGGCACACGAGTATTAGACAGCAGGAAATAACTGGAGGAGGAAAGAGATTGAAGGTAAGACAGAGATGTTTCACTATTGATCGACAAGGTTGAAGGATTTAGGTATTGTCTGCGAGCTGCAATTTTTCCACGTTTATTATTTGCTAATAAACAGGGGATAGCAATACCCCAATTGACAACTTAGTCCCTTAAAGCTACGGAAACAATATTTTTATCGATTTTCTAATTAATTGCAGCTGCCGCCCTTTATGATGGAGAAGAAGGACGCATATGGAAATGAAATCAAAGGTGAGTACGAGGGCTTCTGTGTGGATTTGGTGGAGAAACTCTCACAAATGATCAAATTCAAGTATAAAATGAAGGCGGTTTCGGATGGACAATTCGGCATTATTGTCAATGGATCGTGGAATGGTATGATTGGGGAATTACTTCGACGAGTAAGTTTTGTTTTGTGTTGTTAACCCGAGGTATCAACAATGCTAGGTTACATACCGTGAATCATATCCTATCAATTCGCCCAATTACGTTGCGTTGTCAAATTAACAGTATCTAGGTACCCAGAGATTGAACTTTAAAGAAAAGTTGAATGCATTAACCTTTCACATCGCTACATATCTACATTATGAGACTTCAACTCTATCACCCTCTATATTGGAGGTTGGTAATTCCATTCACTGGGTGGGTATTGATGGACCTAGGACCCCTGAAATATGTCATGGAAAATGTGAACGAAGAATTATGCGGTAATGGCGCCTAAAAGTCTTATGGAAATTAACAAAGCCTCGTAGAATGCATATTTACTGCATTTCGATTAGTTTTATAAAACGGCAAGGTCTGATAATCTATTTCTTGTGCTGTTCATGTGAGTGTTCAAGAGATAATTCTCTTTTATTTTTGTACTACATTAGATCACTTATTTCTTAATGAAAAAGAAAAACGATTAGACAATACAAAATATTTTAAAGCTTA